TGGTGAAGATGGCGATTCGGCACGAGGAGGAGCTGGCGAAGATTCGCATCGATACCACGATGATCTTTTACCTGGATACCGGGGCGGCGGGAATCCTTCCGCTGATACGCCAGATGGCCGAGGCGTGGTCGACCGAGTTCGAAGCGGGCAAGGTGACATCGCCACTGAAGGTGGTCCTCCTCTTGGGCATTTTCCAGGAGGTGGGTACCAGGATCACTTGCATCCTCCAGGACGAGGAGAAGCTGGAAAAGGCGAGGGAGTGGGCCTGGCTACAAGCCGGGGCCACGGCGCTGGATCCCCTGTGGACGTACTTTCAGTGGAACACCACAGCCAAGAAGCAAGAGCCCAGTCCACATCCTCCCATCAAGAACAGCGAGGTCCGGAAGCACTGGACTACCTGGCCCTTCATCTTTCCGATGCCAACGTCCTCACCCGGTTCAAGGCCACGCGAAGGATGTCAAGCACGGATCGCTACGCCAGTGCAGTCTTGCCGTTTTTCTGCGCCCTCAGCCTAAGAGGCGAGATTGCCACGACATGTCATGCGGCCATCAGAGCCCTTGTCAACTGCTCGGCGCTGAAGACGGTGGGCTTACGGATCAAGCCTGCTCGGGGGGAACGACAGCCCCTAGCAGCGGAGCTGGAGAAGGCCTACCTCGAGGTGCCCTACACACAGTGGCAGGCGCGAGAGCAGAACTGGCGGCGGACGGATCGTCGGGCGCAGCGCGAGGGGGGCAAGGCGAGCGAGGGGACCGAGCAGGGCCAGCAGGACATGGATGCGTGGCCTTCTCAGTTCAGGTTCGTGCTTTTCCTCTGCAGGAACCTTCGCCTGTCAGATTACAGAATCCACATCAGGTGTGTTATCTCAACTCCGTCGCTCAGGCTTTGAACTGGCTCGCAAGTGTGGCCACGGATGCTGCCTCCTGCACTGGCAGGGCTCATGCTGCTCTTGCCTTAGTTCAAGGGGATGCCAGCAGGTATCTTCCACAATGCTATGCCTGGCATCCGATCCTTCGGGGGTGGGCTCACTTGAGTAGGCAGCAGGATGCCTGTTCCTTCTGTGCGCATTTTCTGACGTACGCCCAACCTGTGGCGATGCAGGGGGAGTGGGCAGCGCGCCTGACGAATCCACATGTGGTCACTGATTCAGGTCCCTTGTTGGCTCCGCTGCCCATTGAAGTACAAGGCACGACATTGCAAGACGCCATTGATAGATGGTCCATGCAGCACTCCATTCATGCTCTGACACGGCATAGTGGGATTGTGCTGCTCCAGCTGAAGCGTTACTACTTTCATGCAGGCTCTGCTGTCAAAAATCGTGAGCCTGTAATGATTGAGCCGGGCCGACTTGTGACCCTACCTGTTTTCCGCTATGACAGCGGGACTGAAATCGAGCAGCAGCAGTTTCGGGTGATCTGTGTCATTTTCCATCTAGGGGATAGTGTTTCGAGTGGTCACTACCAGACTGCATTGAGCTACTGTGCACAATCAGTGTCGCTGGGCGCTGCTGCTGACGTGTCTTGTGCTCCATGGGAGTACCGAATTTGCGATGATAGACGGAGACCCAGAAGGGCCAAGGCGGCTGATAATCAGTGCATCAATCACAATGCTTACCTTATAGGACTGATGCATTGCCCGCGGCGCTGCGGGCACTGACAGCTGCTTGAGAGTCTTTGCGGGCTCCACACACCTGCTGAAAGTTTACTTGAAGCCGGTACGATGGGGCGCACCGCAAAACACCTGACCGAATTTACTGCATGCTGTTAATGTTGCTTGCGTGGGATGGTTTGTGAAGGTCACTGGCCTGCTTGCTCGCAGCTATATCTGCTCTGTGCCCTTGGGCTGTGCGATTTCCCTGTTACCACTGGTGCTGCCCTGTCGGGGCCTTGCAGTGTCGGTGCAAATTCCTGGATGCTGCTTTGGGCGGTTGTAGTGTCTGCCTCACCTCATTGGTTGTCTGCAGTGACTGGCCCAAGCACAGGCATGGCGTTTGCAGTGCAACTTCCCAAGTGCATATATGTGGAGATGCTAGAAGAATGGCTTCTGCTGCAGGCGTACTCCGGTCTCTGGCGGGAGAGGGGACATGGCTCCTTGCCACCCGCGCTCTCCATGGCAGTGCGTAATGACATCATTCATGCTGCCGTCAGTGCGCTGGAGCCAGAGCTTTGTGCTGCCTTCCTGGACTATGCTGAGAGGCTGCAAAGTGAGCTACCGCGGTATACCGAAACCTCATTTCCGCAGCCATGCACGCTGCCCTCCCAGCCGTCTTCAGCGGAATGCCTTGCACATGCGTTGCTGGGGCAAGGACATGGCTCTCTCTGGACTGGTGCCAGGCAGGTTGCGGCTGAGCTCTCGTACCAAACTGTTCACCGGGCCATTGGCACTCACCTTTCCTTCAGTGTCGGAGCCTATGGACATCGTAGCTTCGTTGGACTGTTGAAACAGACGGGGAAACATCAATCTGTCTGTCGACTGCTGAATGCTCTGGTCACGCAGATCTATCCGGCTCATGTTTGGACCACCGTCACGGTGAATGTGGATCTGCAGGCGCCGACGCACATTGATGTGGCAAATGCTCCATATGCCAGCCTGTTGTTGGGGCTGTCACACTTTGATGATGGTGAACTCTGGGCTGAGCATGAGTCAGGTGCGGTCTACCATGAGCATGGTGGTCGACTTGTACCAGGATGTGTGCATCAAGTCAGTGGTGCAGCCCTGCTGTTGAACGCGCATAACACCACTCATGCGGTTCAGCCTGGTGCCAATGGCAATCGCTTCACGCTGGTGGCGCACACCATCGGGCAGCATCTTCACCTGTCTGAGCAGGATAGACAAACGCTATGGGATCTGGGTTTTGGCATTCCTGGAGCACCTGCTCCTGCTTTCCCCTCTCCTTACTTGAGTGGCTGAATACGGCTAGCTGTCTGGAGAGGCCTTTAGGGTATTGGCTGCCCGCTGGGGAGGGCACCTTGGTCGGCTAGGCTCCTCTAGGCTTGGTTCCTGGCCCCGGGGTCCCTAGGGTGTGCCGAGGGTTATAGGGGTTGCCACATTGCTGCGCCTGCTGGGCTGTGATCTGTGAGTTGCTCATGCTGCTGGCAATTGCAAGGCTATACTCTGTACTAATGTGTTTGTGCTTTGCGATGACTTCAGCCTGAGTTTTCTCATTCCAGTAGGTGGCAGAGCTTGTGCGGATGATGCAAAGGCATCAAGTTTCCAGAACATCCATAGATGCATGCCTGGAGGTTTGATCTCAAGGCATGCCGGAGGGCGCTTGTGCACCAAATTGACCGTGCCACACTCTTGTGCTCCTGCCTCCGTGTGCTCAGGTCCACTTGTGGCGAAGAACGAGACGAGTCGGGTGGGTCCCCGGCTCTTCTGCTGGCTGCTTAGGTACGCGTACCGGGTCAGTTTCTTCAGTGGAGATTTGCACTGGTGTCTTGGGTAGTCGAAGGGTGGGAACTTGCACTTTGCGGTGATCCCACATGAAATGCTGCGCTAATCCTGGCTGTGGCAGATGGCACAATGGCAGGCGACCTACGTGTTGCTCTGGCTGCGATTCCTTTTCCAGAGGCAGGACAATGACGAGGCTGCATTCACGAAGATGTCAGCGAATGCAGCGCAACTACTGGCGTGGCCGGCAATTGACCAGTCAAGCGGACGCAGACTTTTGCAGCGCGGTGGGCTGCGATCGGATGTCACGACCGGGGTACAGTGCATGTTGCTCCCACTGTGGTCATGCACGTGGCAACCAGCACAGCAGAGGATGCAACCGTCAGCAGGCTCAACTGCACCTTCACCCGTGGATGGAACACATGCCTACGATGGGTACTGCTGGCAATGCTGCTGCAAGTGCTGGAATGATGTCTGCGGGCTCCAATGGTCTCACATTGGACAATGAGAGGCCATCTGCTTCAGGTTCTGGTCCTGCTCAGGTGATTGTCATTTCAGATTCTGAGCAGTCGGAAGCGTCCAGCGATGCACCTTTGGCACCGGCGGAGATGTCTGATACTACACAGATACTGGGAAGGTCGACGGAGGATGCATCCACTCACCAGGCAGCATCAGAGGGAGTCAGTGCTGATGATTTTCATATCCCGGATTCCACGGAGCATTTGTTATGCCTCTCAGAGATGGATTGAGAGGTTTTTGAGTTAGTCGCCGATAGGAGAGGCGCAATAGCCGCTGCGACCTCGGAGTCGCCGGGCGTGAAACGCCTGTCTCGTCGCTATGCTTCTGACTTGGACGGAGCAGCGTGTGCAAGTGCAAGTGCAAGTACTACTACTACTACTACTAC